TTCCCCTCCCCTCCTCCTCTTAGTATCTTGTTCGTTGTTCAGGTGAAAGCTGGGTGGGAGCTGGCCCACCCTAGTCAGTGGCTGGGCCTGGCACTGAGCTGGCTACTGCCTCTGCCCACCCCTTGCTGAGCAACGCTAGAAAGCAGGGCCAGGGGATCCTAAGTCCAGCCTTCTGAGGGCTGACCAGCCTATTGGGGGGCCTGCGGATTCTGCCTCCAGGCCTGGGTCTTCCTCTGGGCACCAGTGGGAGACAGGGCAGCTGCACACCTAGCCCAGGGCATGGCCTCCGCACCCAGCTGCCTCCCTGGCAGAGGCAGGGTTGCCTTGGCAACAGCACCTGAGGAGGAGGCGGCGCTTGCCCTGGGTGTGCTGCTTTCCCTGTCTTCTTCAGTCAGGGAAGAGGCTGGCTTCCTCTGTTGGAGGGTGGTGGAGGGCGGTGGAGGGTGGCACAGGGTGGCGGAGGGTGGCACAGGGTGGCAGAGGGTGGCACAGGGTGGCAGAGGGTGGTACAGGGTGGCAGAGGGTGGCAGTGGCTCTCCTCCTTTGCCTTGGAGCCTGGTTTACTCTGGGCATCCCTGAGCCACCACATTGGTGGGATGGGCTGGAATGGAGGGAGGGTCTGAGGGTGGCTTCAGGGCTGGCGATGATGGCCAGGGAGTGGAGGGAGTGGGAGTGGCTGTGCCACTTTGGGAGCGCTTCGGGAGTGGAGGGGCTCTGTGCCCGGGAAGGAAGTGCTGTGTGGCTGTGCCAGTGTCCCTGGGCTGCTAGAGCCAAGCACCCCCGCCTAGGGGCGTCAGCTGCAGGCATGATTCCCTCACAGTCTGGAGGTCCAAGGTCTGAGACTGGGGGTTGGTGGGGCCGGTGCCTTCCAAGGGCCCGGAGCAGGGTCCAGGTCCAGGCTGTGTTCCTCAGCTTGTAGCCGGGGGTCTCTCGCATCCTCCCTCGGGGCATGTCTGTGTCCAGGTCTCTCCTTTCAGGATAACATGACAGCATCCTGACCACCCCAGTCCCCAGCGCCACCTCACCACGTAGAGAACCCTTCGGGCCAGCTGCCGTGTTTCCTGGTTCTGAGCGTGGAAGCGCGCTTAGGGGATGTGGCCCCAGGGCCCTCGTAGGGGGATTCCCCGCCCGCTCCTCCATCTCAGTGGGCCTTTCTTCTGCCCTGGAACAGAAGATTGCAGCTAAGGCAGGAACAGAACATGGTCTGCGAGCGCCACGTGTAGGGTGGCCCTGCCGGGGGCAGTGGAGCAGCCACCTGGAGTGTCCTTTCAGTTTTCTGTATTCGAATGTAGCACGTTTTATTGTAAAACACAAAAACAGTGTGAAATGCAACAGTCATCTCATGTTTATATGGACGTCCATCATATTGGATAGGAGCCCGCCCTAATGGCCTCACCTTAGCTGGGTCACCTCTGTAAGACCCTGTCCCTGAACAAGGTCCCAGTTGTGGGCACCGGGGGCAGACTCCTACTGTCTGTTTTAGGGGACATGGTTCAGCCTGTCGTGTGCACAGCTCCCTGGCAGAGCTGAAAGTTCTTTCTGCAGTGAGAAGAAAACCCATTTTAAAATAAGGACGGTCCACCATGCCTTTTGACTGCAGCTGCCTGCTGGCCTGATTTGCCACATGGGGACTATGCGCCCCTGGGTTGGAGATGCTGACCCCACCCCTTCCCCCCAGTGTGATACTGGGCGTCTCCTTTCCTTTCCACGGCCTCGTTCCTTTTGTCTGTGAAATGGGCAGTGTGGGGATTTGACCTCCCCCCCGTGCTCCCCCGGTCCGGCTTCCGACCCTCTCAGTGGTCTCTGTCAGTCTGTAAATGTGACCAGCTCCTCCATCTCCAGCCTGGCCTCTGCTCTCCCATGCAGCCAGCGTCCCCTGCAGTGGGTATGGGCAGGGAGACAGGTAGATGGGCAGAGCGTGGAATGGGAGGGGGAGTCTGAGTCTGGAGGACCTTCTGAGACCCCCGAGAAGCCTCCAGAGCGTCCCCGGGTAGAGCTTGTTTCTCCTCAATGATGTCACTCCCCTTTAAAAATGTAAGGCTGGATGCAGTGGCTCACGCTACCCAGCACTTTGGGAGGCTGAAGTGGGAGGGTTCATTGAGACCAGCCTGGGCAACATAGTGAGATCCCCTCTGTACAAAAAAAATGCAAATATTAGCCTGGCACAGTGGCACGTGCCTGTGGACCCTCTGTCCATTACATAAAAGGCCTCTCTGGGAGACGCCGGGCACTGACCACACCAAGGCTGGCCAGCCTCTGCCCCAAAAGCTGGGGGCTCAGTGCAAGAAAACTCAAGGCCAGACTTTGTAAAAGACGTAGACGTGGGTGTGGTGCCCTCACCTGTCCAGTGTGGTTTGGACTCTCGACGCCACTTCCCCGGGCCCCAGGCAAGTAGCTCAAGTCTGGCTTTGAGTTTTCTCATGTGCAAAATGGGGGTCTTACATTCCTCATTGTCGGAAACAGATGCTCGGTGCCGCGAAGAAAAATCAGCTCTGAGACAAAGGATCTCTCAGCAAGCAGTTTTTGCTTCCTGGACTGCAGGAAGGGCACCCTTGCTAGCCAGCATGCTATGAAAGGCCAAGGAACAAAGGCACAGACACATTTCTCCCTTGTACATTTGAGCTTGTCCTAACTGCTGTGTCTGGTCTTTGTTGGCTGGAGCCAGAACTCACAGTCAATCTAAAACCCAGTCGGCTGACGACTGAAAACTTATTTAAACGGGTAAGGGGCATAGGCTGGGAGCTGGGACATGCCTGTGAGCACGCCCAGCACAGATCTCTTGGTTAACGTACAAGGACGTAGAACGTCCTATGTGCTTATAAGCATGGCATGTTCAACGGCTACATAAGGTAGGGCTTAACAAAGCACACTTACAATTTATTCTTCAACAAGAAAGGAAACTTGAAAGAGGAACTTCCCACACTCATGGAGCTGGGGGTGCGTCACATTGCAAATGGATGCAGAGGGCCAGAGCACAGCCAGGCTGTCCACCAGGGCTCTGCGGAGGGGCTGTGGGCGTGTCTCCTGCAGCCATGTGACACTCAGTACCCACCCAAGGAGGAGCAGTAAACGTTGTGGTTCCCACTAACGCTAAAAGCTGAGTTGTCTGCTGTCAGCCTCATCATTGAGGACTGACTGGATGAGGGCTTTTCTGGGACGCAGATGCTGAGTTCTCATCCCCGACATCCCGTGTATTGATAATTATTGAGACATGTTAGTTTGGGGCTGCAGGCATTAATAATGCACTGAAAGGGTGAGTGCACCAGCCAGCCGCCTGGGAGGGCAGGCATTTGCACAGAGGGGAATCGGGCTGCATTTGCTTCTTCCTGAACTCTGGCTGTCCTCTGCCAGCTTCTCTCCAAGGGAAGTGCCGTGATGGGCTCCGCCCTGAGGATTCGGGGTCTCCCGAGGCCCCTGCTCACAGCCAGGAGACCCACAGAGAGTGTCTGCACTGGGGCAGGCCGGGCTTCGGGAGATTGCAGCAGCAGCCCGCCTCAATTCGGGGCGCTCAGAGGCTTGAGGGACAGGTGTCCTCACGGAGAGGGGACTGAGCCAGGCGGAAAGGACAGAGACTGCCTGAAAAGAGAGGGTTTCTCAGGAGCAGAAAGGGCCAGAGTCATTCATGCCAGCCAGTTCCATGAGCCCAGCCATTCATGAGCACTGAGGACCCCACAGGCCAGAGCCCCTGTACTGAGACGACCCCTGAGGTTCTGTGTAGCTGCAGAGCACCGCCTTCAGTAGCAGAGGAGGGCACGGCAGTGGAAGTGCCACAGACACGCATCCCTGTGAGAGCTCTGTGCCTTCACCTGTGCCCCCCAGCAGTGCCAGCCATATACAGGACCTTCCTCCAGCTGCACACCGTGGGGCCACAGCGTTGACTCAGGCCGCCCCCGCTCCCCTGCCCCCGCAAAGCTTCCGAGAGCCGCCCTGGCAGACCATAGGTGCCCGTGGCCCCTCAAAGTTCTTGCCAGGGTGTTAAAGCCCGGTCTTAGGAGAGCGAGTTCCTGTCGATCCACTCCCGCTTTCTCGTCCCTGGATCTGGCAGCCTAGGGATGGATCCCGAGCTCCTTCCTGGACCCTCTTGGCCAAATCCTGCTGGGAGCCCTGACCAGAGCCAGCCCAGCGCCTCCCTGGAGAGTGCAGGGACCTGCCCTTGTGGTTGGTTTGGTCCCACAAGGGGAGCCAGGGAGATCCTGGGAGGCAAGTCTCATGTTAGAGGTCACTGTGGGGGTCTTCCAGCAGGAAGGGCTGCTTGGTCTCTGCAGGCCCTGGAGGGAAGGTCAGGCCCTCAGCTCTGTCTGCCCGGGTTCCTTTACCCTGCGTCTCCAGTTCTGTTCTTTCTGGCTCTGGCCTCGCCACGGGATGCTGCCCTGCTGAGAGTCCAGCCTTCTGGGTCTTGGCCTCCCTCCAACCCTGGCTGTAGGAGGTTGGGGTTTCCTGAGACAGTGCCTGGAAGCCCCCTGGCTTTTACATTTCACCTTGAACCACCCTAGACTGTTGTCTCTCAGATGAGGCAGCGGTCTCCACAGAGTCTCCCACGGCCACGGTCCTCCCAGTTAGGTGGCCCTTTGGACCCTTCAGCACTCAGCAGAGCACCCTCCCCTAGGCTCGCAGTCTCCTCCTGGATGGCCACCAGGGGCTGTCTGTATCCCACTCACCCCTGCTGGGGTCCTCCTGACCTGCCGGAGCCTGCTCCCCAGATCCACGCTTCCCTGCTGCATGGCTGCCTGCCAGAGATGAACCTGGAAGAGGGGAGGATGGCAGGGCTGGGTGGGGAGAGGCTGCTGTGGGTCTCCACATGGAACTGAGTTAAGGAGCTCGGGATGAGGCCATCCTGGATTATCTGGGTGTTCTGACAAGGGGAGAGGCGAGACCCAGACACAAGGGAGGAGGTGGCATGGCGACAGAGGCAGAGGCGGGTGTGAGGTGGCCACAAGCCACGTCAAGAGCCCCTAAAAGCTGGGAGAGGCAGGAAGGAGCCTCTGTGGCTCTGGCTGGCTGGCACCTGCTGCCCAGGCAAGAGGGGCCTGATGCTGCACCGGGCTGCATCTGCGTCTCACCAGGCCCCAGGAGAAATGTTGCCCGTGACCGCCTGTGTGTCATCAGGGTGAGAAAGAATCCCTCAGCGACACAGGCTTTCTGAGATGCATCTGGGATCCCTGAGATGGAGGGTGGCACTCGGGCCCAGAACCTGCCTGGGACCCACCTGGCTGCATCTGATCAGGAAGGGCCCATGGAGATGTCAGGCGCTCCAGTGACCTAGGATGGGTGTTTAGTCTGTTCTTGGCCCTGGCCAGCCAGCGTCTATTGCTTGGTAAGAAGAGGGAGCCCAGTTGTCAGGGGAAATCCTGCCCCCAGCCCCGGGATTGGCTTGGAGGCTCAGGTCAGTTCTACTTGGAAGGGAAGGTCCAGGCTGCGTCAAGCTGACCCCTGGGAACCCAAAGATGGGGACGTGGGCAGGGCCAGAGCCACCATCCTGTAGCTGTGAGACCCCTGTGGGGCTCGGATCCACCTGCGCGGCCGAGATGGAGTCTTCATGCCTTTGTTTCCTCATTTGCCCATGAGGAGTGATGCTCACTGCTGCGCCTGACCTAGGGTTGTCACATGTGTGGAATGGGCCCTCTGGAAAGCTAAGGGCCATCACCCAGTGCCAGCTATCACATGAGATGTGTGAAAGACCCCTGACCCCAGGGAGGAGGCTTTCCGGCTGGAGGGGAGTGGGTGAGGGCCAGTGAGAGGTGAGCAGTCACTCCAGGCTTTATCAGGAGCTGCCTCCTGACCTCTTGGCTCCCCTGCCAGCTCAGCTTAGGTGCCCCCTCTTCCAGGAAACTCTCATGACTTTGCAGTAGTGCTCACCCAGATGCCCTGCTCACCTGCTCCTCCAGCTCTCCCCAGCCTGGGGGTGGTTCTCCAGGACAGGGGTGCCTCCTGGCCCCCTTGTCCACCCAGCACAGTCCTCTTCCCTTGAAAATGTCCTGGTCAGCTCTTGGCTCCCTGCAGCCCCCACTGCACCCCATCTTCTCATCATGCTTCCGTGCTCACTGGGGCCCCTGGGGCAGCAATCAGCACAGTCCTTACTCAGCAGTGTCAGATAAAGGCAGGGTGAACGGAAGGGGTCCGAGGAGAAGCCCCAGGCTCGCTCTGGCCCCTAGGTCATCAGCACAGGTGGCAGCTGGGAGCACAGGGGCTGTGAAGACCTGACATGGAGGGTCTGGGACTCGGTCTTCTGGTGGACCTGAGCCAGGGAGCTGCCCCTTAGTGAGGGGAACAAGGAGCCATCAGTGGTGGGGAAAACCACATTCTGACGGGCTGGGCCATGGGGAGCAGGGACCCCACTGTGGGGTTGTGGGCTGTGGGTTCTTGTGGCCCCTCTTCCAGCAGGCAGGGAGAGCTGGGGTGCAGTGGGTGCGGTGCTGGCAAGGCAGGAACCCTCAGCTCAGGGGTTGAGGAGGAGGAGGGCTATGTGCCGTGAGCTTGTGGCTGGGCCGGTTCCCCTGGGGTGTGGACCAGAGGACCTGGCAGGGTGACAGCAGCGTTGTGAAGTGGGCTAGCAGAGTGGCCGTGCAGCAGGTGTGAAAGGGGGTCGAGGTATGGGTTGAGAACTCTGGAGTTTGCCCCTTCGGTGGTCCTCCAAGCGAGGTCCCTGCACCAGTGGAGGCCTCCACCTCACCTGGAAGATTAAAATGCGGATTCCCAGGCCCCACGCCGACCTGGGGAATCAGACACTCCAGGGGTGGGTCGGGCCGTCTGGGTTTTATCTCATCCTACAAATACCCTATTTCCAAATAAAGTCATATTCCCATTTTGGGAGACACCATTTAATCCACTGCAGGTGCTGAGGGTGGAATTGGGGAGTCACCGCAGGCCCCATCCGCCCCTCCCTCATGTATAGCTGTGGCGTCGTCTTCCATCGGCTATGGCCCTGTCCCCTGTACCGTCCACAGCAGAGGTGGCCTGGTAAATCCTGCAGTCTGCTCCCAGGTGGGAGGAGCCCCGGCATCTGGCCTGGCCAGCCCACGGTCCGCAGCGGCCCAGGAACCAGGCCTCTTCTCACTGCTTGCCTCTGGGTCACGGAGCGGGTCATGGGAGCCTCACGCATAGGGTCAGGCATGGCCAGAACCATCACCATGTTCCCGGGGCAGGTTGCAAGAAAGGCGGGGTCATGAGATGACCAGGTGGAGGTGCTACAGAGCCACGGTGCAGGTGTGGGGGCCCTGTGTGAGCTCCGACACCCTCCCCACCTGTGTCACCACGGCTTGACCCTCCCCAGCGGGGAGCCACAGGTGTCAGGGGCGCCAGGCCGAGGCTTGGTGTCTCATTTATAGTGAACCTCTACAGCGCGTTTGGGAGCTTCCTTCTCTGTAAGATGCGCTTGTTTGGGTTTGTTATATTTTAGTGTTGGCACTGCGTCTTTTTATATATGTGTGAACGTATATATGTAAATACACGTATGATGTTGGTGAGTTAATGTTGGTGGTAGTTTTACTAAGCAAAGATGTGGGAACCAAATAGCAGCCCCTCTGGTGAGTTTCCCATTGGCTCCCATGTGCTGTGTGTGCACGGGGGGCTCTGTGGTCCAGGTCTGAACGGCCTGGGAGGTGCAAGACCCCATCCTCTCTAGGAGCTTACTGGAATGGAGGAGACGTTCACAAAGTACCAGCCATCGCACGAGTCATGGTCATTCTGGAAGGTGCCCTGGGACAGGTGTTTTCCCACTTGCCTTGGCTTCTGGGGAGCTCGGAGCCTGCTTTCCTTCCACTTGTGGGCAATTTTTGGGCGGGAGCTGCTGCACGGCGGACCTCAGCTTCTGAGTCCAGGCCCAGCCGTGTTCAGACCACGCGTTTTTAGTTTCGGGGCATTGCAAATCCTCCTGGAATGTGATGAAAGCCATGGATCCTCTACTTGTGGGGGGATCATGCAGAAAACTTTGGGTACAGTTTCAGGGGATGCACACACCACCCCAAGGCCTGGGATCAGAGCCCCCGCAAGATGGGAGGGTGCACTCTCTGGCTCTGGGAACCCTGGTGTGGGGCATTCTCAGCAGCTGGCCTCATTTCCTGGACACATGTTCTTGGCTGTGGTTTTTATTACTCTTTGTATGTAAATATCATAGATGTATTTTCTTCTAGTAAAATTGTTCTTGGCTAGCACAGTGGAATTTTGAAAGGAGGAAGCCGTCTCAGCAGTGTGTGCTTCCCAGGGTTAGCCCATGCGCTTGGAATGATGGGTGTGGCAGAGATGGGAGGCTCACGCTTCGTGGGAGGTTCCTGCGCCCTGCCGGGTGTGTGTGTTAATCCTCACCTCCAGGGCGATGGTGCTGGGAGGCGGGGCCTTTGGGAGGTGATGAGGCTGAGGATAGAGCCTCGTAGCAAGGATTATGCCCTGATAAGAGGCCCCCGAGAGTGCCCTCACCCCTCTTACCGTCTGATGACACAGCAGGAAGTGCTGTCCAGGACTCAGAAAGTGGGTCTTCTGCAGACAGCAGAATAGGGAGAAAAAGTAATGTCTACTGTTGATGAGCCGCCAGAGCTGTGGTGCTTTGCTGCAGCCTGAACCGAGTTAAGTCGGGAACTGCGAGCAGGAGGCCTCCTGGGGACTCTGCTCGGAGGGGGGAGTGGCATTGTACCTGTTTGCCATGGCCACCAGCAGGCCCTCCTGGAGCCAGCACACCTGGTAGGCAGAAATAGAATGCACAGAGCCCCATGTTCTGCCTTTGGGGTGTCGATCTAGGCCCTTGCTTTACAAAGGGCAGGGAGACACCAGAGGGGCAGCGTGCCCAGCCACTGACAGGAATATTGGTGCCTCCGTGGCATACATGGGTGTCGGCATCATCCTTCAGCTGGGTGAGGGAAGTGCCCACCTGGCCAAGTCCCAGGGTTCCAAGTCAGAGTTGCTGCGATTAGGGTCCCACAGCTGGCACTGGGGCAACAGCAGGAAGCGCAGGGGCCTGTCACCATGTCCACCCTGCGGGGTGGGGTCATCCAGGCTTGGACTCTTTCTGTGCATGTGCCAGTGGTTGTTGATAATGAAATCAGAAATGTTTTCTTTTTGAGACAGAGTCTCGCTCTCTTACCCAGGCTGGAGTGCAGTGACACGTTCTCGGCTCACTGCAGCCTCCATTGCCCAGGTTCAATCAATCTTCCTGCCTCAGTCTCCCAAGTAGCTGGGACTACAGATCCAAGCACAGCTCACTTCATAATTTTGGTAGAGACGGGGTTTTGCCCTGTTGCCCAGGCTGGTCGTGAACCCCTGAGCTTAAGGGATTGTCCCGCCTTGGCCCCTCAAAGTGCTAGGATTATAGGCATGAGCCACCACCCTCTGCCCAGAGATGTTTTCAAGCATGTCCCAGTGAGTTTAATGAATGAATGAACAAAGTCCGAGCCAAGCCTGTTGGGGGCGGGGGAGTTGGCCTAGTACCTCCCCCCACACACCCTGTCACCTGTGCTTCCTGCCCCTCTGACATTCCTCCCTATCTCCCGCAGGACCTCCCACTCTCGGGCAAAGGCTGAGGCAGCCCTCACAGCGGCTCAGAAAGCCCAGGAGGAGGCGCGGATCGCCAGGATCACTGCCAAAGAGTTCTCCCCTTCCTTCCAGCACCGGGAAAACGGTGAGTCCTACTCAGCATGACACTGGCATTGTGGGGAGCAGGGGACGTGTGGATGGCCAGGCAGCCCCAGCAGCAGATGCATCCTCCAGGGTGGGCAGGCTTAGATGCGCTTGGCCAAGCTGCTCCCTGCCTGGTGTCCACCTCTCCGCTGGAAGGTGTCTGTGCCAGGGTCTGGCACCCCGGGATGCAGGATGTGGGTCCTGGCAGGTTTCTGCTGTTCCTGCAGCTGCATCCTTGTGGCACCACGTGGTGCTTGCTAGCTGCCAAGAGTGAATGCCCGCGCGCCTGGCCTGTGCTGTCTGCCTGCCCTCCCCCCATGGTGTTGTTGAAACTTTGGTGATGAGATTGTCCTGTCTGTTGGGTCCAGCGTGGCAGGTGTGCCTGAGGAGCTGACTCTTGACCCCATTTTGATCTGAACTAACCTACAATTAAACATACCCATGGGCTGCTGGGCTGGACAGCATCACTAACAGCAGCAACTCCTGTGGGCCCCTCGGAAAGAGATGGAAGCTGCTGCCCCATTTAGGAACCTCATCCTCCCTTTGAGGAGGGGGATCATGGGTGATATGGCACGACAGTGGCAGGGGCACGAAACAATGGGGAGGTGGACATAGAGGCCATAGGCACTGCTTCTCTCCTACCTCCCCTGGAAGCGTCCTCTGCATCCGGAGGCCCCAGAGAGTAGGGTTAGGATCGCACTCCCTTAAGCTGAGCTCTGACCAGTGAGAGGCCCTAGATCAGGGTCTGCACACTGGAGGTCGGCAGTCTGACCGCACAGCCCTGAACATGCAGCGCTTGCTGTTCCGGCCTTCAGGACAGGATAAGGAGTCTAGCCTGGGGGCTGCTGGGCTTTCACCTACCTGGAACCAGCCCATTTTTCCACCCAGGACGCCAGCCCCCTCGGGCTCTGGAGGTAGCTGTCCACCTCCTTTCCAAGGCCTTTTCAGCAGGTGAGGGCCAGTCCCCACCAAGCCTGCAGCTGCAGCCTGGGGGTCAGGGGGATGATCCACACTCCCCCACCTCCAACTTCTCTTTCAGTGCATCACCTACACTCTCCTGGCCCCTCCAGACAGACCCCAAAATGTCCAAGTGGGAGGGCCACAGGCCTGGTGCCACTGTGGTCAGTGTCTCTGTCGGTCCCTGAATTTCTTGCTCCCTGGTGCTCCTCCTTGCCTCCCCCCTGACCACCCGCCTGGGCTGGGAGGGGGTGGGGCATACACTTGTGGGATATACACTTGCGGGGCACACGTGGAGTGGGCATATGCATGTGGGGAGTGGGTGCAGTGCCCCAGGATGGATAAACGAAACAGGAGGCAGCAGGAGGACTGAGCGTCCAGGCTCCAGCATGCAGGTGGCTCGAAGGCGGAGGAGCAGCGTTGCAGAGGCTGCATGCGTAGCCACCTCCCATCTTCACCGCAATGCCTCCCAGGATGTTACCTGCACCGGAGCATCTTTTAGCTGAGGATGCCCCACCCCTGGTGCTGGGAGTGGGGGTACCCTCGAGGGTGCAGGTCTGCTGGCCAGCCAGGCCTGATCTCTGTGCTGCCGTGGGTGGACGGCCTCATGGGAAAGTGGGAAAGGTCAGGGGCCCACTGGTAGGGCATGGTACCTGGGGCCCCAGCGTCTAAGGCACAAGAACGTGGGTCCCTCAGAAGCCCCATTCCGGCTGGGGTGCAGATGTGAACAGTGGACGTGATTGGGGTATCTGACAGGGCCAGGGGTTCCCGCCACAGGCAGAGAGGGTGGATGGAGGAGAGCCCAGGGCTGTGCATCAGGTGCATGGGTGGATGTAAGAGCAGTTCTCCACAGACCCTCCCTGGCCCATTCCCTTCTCTGCTGGGGGTATACACAGCAGCCCAGCCCTGCAGCTGGGGCGTGACCATGTGCAACAGTGATGAAAGACCACGCACCCCTGTGTGATAGGGACGCAGACTCGGAGGGCGGGCTGCCCACCTACAGCCACACAGCTGCACTCCAGGGCCATAGCCTCACTCTGCTCAACACTGCCTCTTAGACCACGAAGCAGGAAGACACACCATGACCCGACTCTGCTTGCTGACATCTTTCTACAAGTGGAGGGCCTAGCCCCTGCCCCACTGAGGGGAGCCGTCTCCCTTTTCTCTCCGGCCCAAAGTTCAGAGACTCGGGCTACAGCCCGGGCAGGGCTCTGATATCTCCATCCTCTGAGGGAAGACACCCCGCTTCCCCGCACAGCCCTGCACTTTTTTGGCCCAAGCAGGACAGGGAAGTGGAGGGGATTGTGGGGGACGGGGGGGGCGGCAGCTGATCTGCACTGAGCCTAGGACCCTACTTGAGATGAATGTGTAACTCTTCCCTGAAGGGTAAGAAACGCCTCATTCTTGAGTTTCTCTGAATGGAGTAAAGGCCAGCGTGGCTCCCTCTGCACTGTCTTGGCGGGAAACGAGATCCCAGTATTGTTCTTGGTTCCTGCCTCCTGTAGGGTAGTCCCAGAGTTCCAGATAAGTCTTGGGGCTGGTCCTATGATGTTGCCCCTCCCTGTCCAGGCCAGGGGGTCAGGGCTCCCAGGGACAGAGGCCCTAGCAGACAACGGGAACACTGCTGGATGCAGAGCTGTCTCCTAGGTCCTGCAGTGGCCTCCCGTTCCCAGGCCTTCTCTACCCCCTGTAGGGAAGGGGAGCCCAGCCCCAAGACTTGAGGCTCCACAGCAGCCTCACACAGCTGGGTGGGGTGCAGGGGGAGGGAAGCAGGCTCCTAGGTTCTCACGCTGGCCCTGGCACCAGCTGTTTCTCAGCAAGGCCATTCCAGCACCCTAAAACACAGTCCCAGGCAGGTAGCCGTGTCAGCGGCCTTGCTGTGACAGCTCGGCCTCCCTAGGCAGGTCGTCCGTTAGGGCACGGGGTTCCTCTCACCCTCAGGACAGGCAAATTAGGGTCTGTGGTACACAAGTTCACCCCTCATTGTCCTCAAGTGCTTCCTAAGCCCTGAGTCTCCCTTGTAATTTGGGAGCTGCTGCCTGCACCTCCTCTTGTGGTCTGGGGCCAGCCTGTCTTCCTCCAAGTGTCTGTGGGATGGAGAGCCCACAGAGGGCTTTGGAAGCCACGGTCCCCAGTTCCCTCCTCTTGCCTGCAGTGTTTCATTGAGTGGGAAGCATCTGCTGCCCCCAGGTTCGGCCTGGCGCCCTGGCCGGGGGAACCCCATCCTCACAGGTGACGCAGCCTTGCTCCAGAACATGCAGGGTGACCCCGGCCGCTGTTGTCTTGTCCCCCAACAGGGCTGGAGTACCAGAGGCCGAAGCGTCAGACCTCCTGTGACGACATTGAGGTGCTGTCGACCGGGACGCCCCTGCAGCAGGAGAGCCCCGAGCTGTACCGCAAAGGCACCACCCCCTCTGACCTGACCCCCGACGACAGCCCCCTGCAGAGCTTCCCCGCCAGCCCCACAGCCACCCCACCGCCCGCGCCTGCCGCCAGGAACAAGGTCGCCCACTTCTCGCGGCAGGTGTCAGTGGACGAGGAGCGGGGTGGGGACATCCAGATGCTTCTGGAGGGTCGGGCCGGGGACTGCGCCCGCAGCAGCTGGGGCGAGGAGCAGGTCGGGGGCTCCAGGGGTGTCCGCAGCAGCGCCCTGCGTGTGGACGACCTCCGTGCCCGAGGCTTGGGCCGCAAGCAGCCTGGGAACCCCAAGCCGCGGGAGCGGCGGACGGAGTCACCCCCGGTATTTGCGTGGACTTCCCACCACCGGGCCAGCAACCACAGCCCCGGGGGCGCCAGGCTGCTGGAGCTGCAGGAGGAGAAGCTGAGCAACTACAGGATGGAGATGAAGCCCCTGCTGAGGATGGAGGCGCAGGAGGCACACCCCCAGAAAAGACGCTACAGCAAGGGCGGGGCCTGCCGGGGCTCAGGGGACGACCACCGCCCTGACGACCGGGGCTTTGGGGTGCAGAGACTGCGGTCCAAGGCCCAGAACAAGGAGAACTTCAGGCCAGCCTCCTCCGCGGAGCCTGCGGTGCAGAAACTGGCGAGCCTGCGGCTGGGCGGTGGGGCCGAGCCCCGGCTGCTGCGCTGGGACCTGACCTTCTCCCCGCCCCAGAAGTCCTTGCCTGTCGCGCTCGAGTCTGACGAGGAGAACGGGGATGAGCTCAAGTCCACTACGGTGAGTGGGTGGCCACCGGGCTGACCCAGGGGAGCAACAACCACTCCACTGGTCTGGGGTTTCCCGAGGTTTCCAGCCAGGGCACTGCTCCTTCGTTCCTCTGCAGGTGTAGAGCAGGGTGGGGGTACAGATGGGAGGGTGACACCCTCCCCTAGGCAAGCCCCGGAGGGGCACGTGTCACACCTCTTTCCTTGAGGGGACTGCCCTGGGCTGTTCTCTAGAAAGCACACCAACCTCCTGACTTCCAGACAGCGTGGGACCCGTGTGCTCCCCGCCACTTCCTCAGCCAGAGTCTGGCCTCTGGTTAGTAGCCTTGGGCCTTGGATGTTGAGCTTACTGCTTGTGTGTTCCGTGTCCTGGACAGGAACGCAGAGACCTAGAAACAGCTGGGGATGGGGCTGGCCCCAGGGCTGCGGGTCAGGTCAGATGCCCAGGGGAGGGGGGACTGCCAGTCATGTTTTTGTCTCACCTGTGGCGTTGGGCTTGGAGCCAGCTTCTAGGTGAGGTGCCCTGTGTTTGACTCCCCCTGAGCCTCCCCCAGCACCCCCCACCCCCCGCACCCTAATTCAGTCCTCCAGGTGGCTTAGAGGGAAGAGCAGCAGCCCCTTGGGCTACAGTCAGTGTGTTGGGCTGGGGTCCTGGTGCCTCGAACAGGGCTGACCTCCCCTTGAAGGGACCCTGACCTTGTGAATCCCATTCTGCAGCTCTATATGGTGGCTATGTAGGGTCAGCACATGGCCAGGCCCTCACCCACCAGGGCTCCGCCTGCCCGTGGCAGCCCCGGCAGTGCTTGGTGCCTTGGGTCTGGGTGCTCAATGTGCAAGCACCTGTCTGGCCCTTGGGTGTGAGGATGTCGGGGGCTGTCTGCATGGGGTGCTCAGGGGGGCCAGTGGTAGGTTTATTGTCGACCTATGGAGAGGCCCATTTCTGCCTCTCTGGGGAACCACTGCACATGTCGGTCCTGCTGTCTGGTTCCTAAGATGCCTCCCCTCCCCGAGATGCCCACAGAGAACAGGCCCCTGTGCTCCTGCTGGGACCAAAATACCAGCTCACACTTGCAACTTGATTTTCCCCATCGCAGCCAGAGACTTGTGCACATAGTTATTTTAGGAAGAGCCAAGTGATGGGCAGGGTGGGAGGTGTAGGGACAGGTTCTATTTTTAGCCTGCTTAATGCACTGGCACTTGTGGGTGCTTTTAAATGAACCTCCCTGGGGTCAATGCGTGAGCTGGGGACAAGTGCCAAGCTGGCCTCTGGGGTGTGAGTTAGCTACGGGACAGTCAGGGTGCTGCATGCTGGGTGTCCTGCCCATTCTCCAGCTGGGGCTCACTTGGGCGTCCCGTCAGCCACAGCATCGTGTTCCAGCTGAGCTCCTTGGAGGTGGTTGCCCTGGGGCACCTGGTGCTGGTGCAAAAAGGTTTCCCTCCCCACCCCCCACGCCGTGGGGGCTGTCTTCTGCCAGGTCTAAGGGAGATGGGGTGGAGAGGCACAGTCACTACTAAGCACTCTCTCAGACCCTGTCTGTGGGGAGGAGGAGGAGGGGCCGGTGCCAGGCTGGGCTTTAGTACCTTCAGTGTCACCCCTCGAGGGGCACGGCTCTCTACCGTCTCCCCTGGGCCACCATCAAGGTCTGGGGAGCTGTCTTCTGGCTATCCCCTTCCACCCTTCCCAGGCAACCAGCGGCAACGTGCTGCAGAGCTCACAAGGGTCTGGCCCTCATCCACTTGCCCCCCGCCCCCCGGAAACAGAGGGGTCATGGGTCCCACTGGCCACAGATGGGCCCAGGATTCTGGCCCGTACAGGGTCCTGGCAATTCAGAGTAAAGTCCCTTGGGAGGGAAGCAGAGGTTCTCCCTGCAGCTCTGCCGGTGAATGAACTCTATGGCCCCAGCTGTTTCCCTCTCAGTGAAATGATGGATGTGACCCGATTCTGGGGTCCAGGATCGGGGGATGGCTGGGGAGACATGGCCTCCCTCCTGCAAGCAGTCATGCCCTCACCCACAGCGTGCGCACCTGCTTCCTGACCCAGACCATGGACTGGACTGGGCTGGCAGAATAGGTACCCCTGACCACTCCACTCCATCCCGCTCCCCAACTGCAGGCCAACCGGCACCCCGGCCCTTCCTCCGAGCTGCAGTGGGGGGGCTTTGCTCCAGGGGTAGCATCGGTGGACAGGGCTGGGCCCTTGCCTGCCCCATGTCGGCTGACCTGACCCAACCAAGTTGTCACAAGGCCCAAGACTCACAGCGCACCTACCGGAGGTCATCATGCCATGGACAGCTGGGCTCGGCCCACTGCCCTGGTGCAGAGGGGTCGGGCAGGTCGCTTTCTCTGGCTCAGTGGAGGCCCTCGCTGCTACCCCACCTTCACTTCCATCTGCACCTGAAGTCCCTGCTGGGCTGGGAAGTTGTGGAGGGGGTGAGCCTGGTACTGCTGTGGCTGCTGTTCCCCCTGGGCAGGACCTCACCCTGAGGACCCTCCTCTCTGAGCAGCATCCCCAGGGTGACAGTTTATAAAGCACTGTGCTGGCTGTAACTCAGCTTGTTGGTTGTGAAAACTTTTTTTTAAAGTTTCTTGGTTGGGCACAGTGTCTTAAGCATGTAATCCCAACACTTTGGGAGGCCAAGACAGGCGGATCATCTAAGGTTGTAAGTTCGAGACCAGCCTGGCCAACATGGTGAAACCCCGTCTCTACTAAAAATACAAAAATTAGTTGGGTGTGGTGGCACGCACCTGTAATCCAAGCTACTCAGGAGGCTGAGGCATGAGAAGCTCTTGAACCCAGGAGGCGGAGGTTGCAGCGAGCCGAGATGGTGCCATTGCACTCCAGCCTGGGCAACAGAAGACTGTCTCAAAAAAGTTTCTAAAGCCGGTGTCCCCAGGACATGCAGGATCCAGACCCCAGTGTGAGGAAGCACGTGGGTCTGGGTGATGATGATGGCCACGATGTAGAATAGAGGGGCGGGCCGGCAGCTGGGGGAGTCCCTCCCAGGAGCAGTGTGGAGCCCAGCAGGGAGGATGTGTGAGGCCTGAGGGTGACGTCCAGACGTGTTGCTTTCACAGTAATGGGGAGAGATGCTCACTGGCAGCTTGTCCTCAAGTCCAAATGCAAAACCGCCATGCGGGGCCGGGCTGAGACAAACACTCACACCCATCATCACCGCCACCCTGCTGAGTGGTGTGTGCTGGCACACACCTCCCGAGGAAACCATGCCAATGCATGGGGTGGCCAAAGCCTGGCCAGGCCACAGACAGGGCCACAATGAGCAGTACAGCCCAGGGCATGTGGTGGGCAGCTCCTGGAGACCACGGGGAGGAGAGGTGGGAACCCAGGAGTGGAGCAGGCACCCAGGTATGGGCAGGACTGGACCAGGAAGAGGGGCAGCAGCTTACTCAAGGCAGAGTGTCCGCCCTGGGGCTGGGAAGGGGCAAGGTTGTGGCTGTTTCAGGCCACCTACTCGCGGAGACCAGCCTGGGTGCTGCGATGTTGCGTCATCAGGGGCACAGCCCATGCACAGGATGAAGCTGACCCAGGGGGCAAAAGCGTCCCTTGGCCAAATGGTAGGGCAGGAGGCTGCTGCTTGCCCACGGGATGTGGCATCCAAGCTAGGTGTGGGAACCACAGGCTGACTTCCCAGGAGGGATTTCTCCCACTGGGGCCCTGCTAAGTAGCCCCTGGTCCCCATCCCTCCCCTGAAGCCAGTGTCAGGCACTGCTCTGAAGGTCTGGCCATGGAGAGCTGACTTCACTGTGGGTATCTGCTGTTCTTGGGTAGCTTTACTGAGAGAGAATTCATGGACTGTTCAGCTCACCTGTCCAGAGTATGTACAAGTCAGTGGTTTTAGTGTATTCTGCTAACTACCTAGATCAGTTACATCCCCTGAAACCTCAGAGCGCAGTCATCCTGTCCCCTGCTCTGCTTTCGGCCTGAGGGGTCCTGGTGCCTGGCTTCTCACAGCACGCGTCACTCCTGCCCCCTTCCTCTGGCTGAGTGGCGTCTGCTGTTGCCTGGACCATGTTGCGCTACCTGTGCGTTCATCCACCGACAGACAGCTGGCGTTGCTTCTACTCTGGGGCTGTTTTGGACCCCACTGCTGGGGGCATGTCGAAGGTTTTGAGTCTTGAGTTTGCCTGCTTAGATTTATGCCTGGGAGTGAACTGCTGGGTCACAGGTAGTCTGATTAACACTCTTCTACTCTTAGAAGCCATTGGCTGTGGGCTGCCAGGACAGCAGGTGCTTCCTGCTGTGGTGGGGGGGACATGTTTCAGGCTCCCCTCATTGGCTCCTTGCTGCAGGCTGGAACAGGCCTTGCCTGAGGCCACAGGCTCTATTCAGTCTGCAACAGACAACCCCGTCAGGTCTTTGAAATTTGACCACAAAAGGGCCCCAGACTTGGGGGCTTAAAGGAGTCCACCAAAAAGCACTCTGGTAACGGGGAGAGGGTGAGAGCAGCCAGCGCTGTGGAATGTGCGTCCTGCGACCTTCCGAAGACCTGGTCTGTCTGTAGTGCACCACAGCTGGACCTCTCTGTACTAGGAAGTGGGGGGCTCAGTGTGCTGGGTAGAAGTGGGCTCTGAGCAGCCTCCTGCCTCAGGCAGGTGCCCACACAGCCCCTTTCCCCAGTGGGGTCCACCTCTCCTTCCAGGACGCTGTGAGAGGCAGAGCTTGGTGATGGGGGTCCAGCACAAGTGTCCTCTGGAAGCAGACCCTGGGCAAGACTGGAGGGGGTGTCCCCCACCATTCCTGGGCTGGGGCCACCTTCTAGGAGGTGCTATTCCCTGTATCTGCAGGGTGGCCCCCATGCCTGCCCTTCCAGAGGACAGCAGCTTCCAGCAGCCTTTCCCAACCTCCATCCCCGAGGGGCCCTGCTGTCCCTCACCCCTGCCTCGTGTGAGCAGCACAGTGGGGAGTAGGCTGCAAGAATCACTGCAGAAGGGCACCCTAGGAACAGGCTCCAGTGGGAGATGCGCGTCTTACCTGGCCCTGGCAAGGACGCGGCAGGTGGCAGCTCAGTCTGAATGCCCAGGCTATGCTGCTGAAGGGGGAGCCTGGCACTTGGGGCTCTTGCAGAGGCTGAGGACTCGTGAGCAAAAGCACTCGGGGACCGTGGTCCAAGTCAGAGGCAGCTTGCAATTGGACACAGCCGACCAGAGCCAGGTGACAGGAGGGGAGCTGTGTTGAGAAAGGTATACTGACAGGCCTGTGGGAGACCTGAATTCCACGGCCACTCTGCTGGGCCACATGTGACACTGGCTATGGCAGCCGCGAGGGCACTTCTGAGATTCTGATCACAATGCCCGAGGTCCCAGTTCCACAGAGCAGGAGAAACCTGCTGCCTGGCACAAATGCAGCCGGCACTGAGACGCTGGCTTACAGGGAGGCCTGGGTGGTTCTCTCTAAGGGGCCCCGCCCAGGAAGAGCTCGTGCTCAGGTCTCAGGGCTGCCAGGGAATTCCAAGACCAGCAACCTCAGGCTTACAGGCAGGAAAGGCTTCTCTCCCCAGTCTGCACTCGAGGGACTCGGGTTCTGGTGTACCTTTGGGGTCCAACCATTTCTAAAACTCTCACTTAGACCTTCCCCCTCCTGGGTCCGCTAGTTTGGTGAAGAGAAGTGGGTGGGAGGTGTGGTGGTCCAGGCAGAGCCCCCGCGGCTGTCGCTCACCTCTTCCCCTCGCTCTCTTCCAGGGCTCAGCTCCTATCCTGGTGGTCATGGTGATCTTACTCAACATCGGAGTCGCCATTCTGTTTATTAACTTTTTCATCTGATGAGATTGTCGCGGCAGCAAAAATAGAAAAACGGTAGGAAAAGGGGACATCAAAAGCAACACCACAAGCAGGGAAAGACCGCAACTCGGACAGCCCAGCGACTTCCAAGTCCTCTCACAGAAGAACCACATGATTGGGTATCACTCACAGTTTGCCTTTTTTTCTGGGTAATGTCTTTTGGATTTTAGCCAAAATTCTTTGCTTGTATAACACTCTGCTGTGTGGCATGGCAGAAGGAGGCCAGCACGCAGCCCCTCCAGCTCCAGGTGGAAAGAGATTCCAGCACATCTGTGGTAACAAAGGATGTCATCCTCGTGGTCACATGTCCCAGCTTGGGTGTGGATGGAGGGCAGCCCCCTGAGCACCTAGCTCCCATCGACGAGAGTGGATTCGCTGCTTCCTCTTTCTAGAACAGATGGGTGACAAGTACGGGTGGGAGGCGTGGGGCAGGTGGCCCACCACTGTAGGCAGTAGCCTGGCCTTTCTCTGAGATCTGTGCTGTACAACGAGGAGGGGGAGGGACCTGCTGCCTCCTCCCCAAGACACGGATGCAGGCCCTTCCCTCTTCTCGGCACTGCCCCCCGGCCTTCCGTGAGAAGCCGACTCCCCACACTGAGTTTTATAAAGCAGAGCCCTTTTCTTCTGCTGCCCATTCGCTGTGGGCCCCATTTGGCTGTTCCCCCACCAGACCCCAGGGAAGCCAGGCCCACTGCGATCCCGGAAGCCAAGGGGCTGTGCCCTGGAGTCGGCCTCGTGCCAGGGCTCTGGGTGTGCGCTTGGCGTGTGGGGTGGACGCATGGGCTTCCGTGTCCCCAGCAGTGAGGGCCCTCCAGGACGCCTTCTCCCCTGGTTACTGACCTCCACGGGTTTTCACATCTTTGTACTGTGCCTGCCTCAACTTCCCCAACAGATATGCATATTCTTTCCAGATGCCTCAGTGCTACACCAGAGCGGGCCTGGTCCCAGGACAGGAATGCGGTTCCACCCAGTGGCTTGAGACTTCCTGAGAAACTGTAGCATATCCAACACCTCCCCAAAAATGTACAATGTAACTTGTTTCGGTCCAAAGCAGGTTCCTTATGTTTCTGCCTTCCCCGCCAGGGTCACTCCATCACCCACACAAAGGAACAAGGTTTGCCAAGATGTCCGAGTGCCCCGTGGCCTTGGCTCTCATGTGCATGGATGTGCCTGAGGGGTCCGGGCACGGCCACACATGGGGCCCTGTGCCTGGGGGGGCGCTGCAGGGGCTCCCCGTCTGGCCGTCCTGGGGCCACAGCCCGCCTTCTGGACTCTGCCTTGCTTTGCTTATGTTGAGCTGTTTCTCTGCTGCCTTTCCAGCAGACTTCTTTACTACACTGCACTGGATTGCTATATTTTTAACCAGAAATAAACTAAAGATTAGAGCATGTTCCAGTTAAATTCAGTTTTACTGTTTTCCGTTACACATTCACTCCCCGGTTCCTTCTGGCAGTCTGGTGTGGGGGGCACAGGAGAGGGAGGGAGAGCTGGAGGTCATACATTTCTGATCGTGTTGCTTTCTAAAGGGATGTGACTTCTTTTTGTACATCTTACTTTTCTGATTTTTTAAATACCAAGTGGTTGCTGCAGACCTAAAGTGAACCAAATAAAGATTCCTGCTCTTTGCAGCTCTAAGAATCACCCCCGCTGGGAGATGTGTTTTGTAATTGTCTGCAACTCTTTGCAAAGATCACAGGCTGCTTTAGTATGTTCCAGTAACTGCATGACACACAAAGGTACCTGTGAGCAGAATACATGTTCACATGAGACGCGCACGGAAGCAGGGGTCTCTGAGTGAAGCCTTGCGGATCCAGGCCTAGGGGCCGTCATCTGCTGCTGTGCATAACCTAGAAAATGAAGCCAAGGCCCGACCCCTTGCCTTCCAGCAGCAAAGGCAGAGGCGAGAGCCACTCCTCCATGAATTACAGGAAGATTCAACCAGGCTAAAATGCACCTGGTCAGAGAGAATCCAATCTGTAATTCGTTTCCAAACCGGGTGATCAAGAAGGCTGCTTTCCCACCTGTCTGGAGCCTTGGCCTTCCTTGACGGGCACACAGTCCTTCCACACGGGCGCAGGGCTGTGTGCTTCCCTCCACACAGTTGGGCACCGCAGTGTGTGCCAGGCTGGCTGCTGCTGCATGGACAGTCTGACAAGTTTTCATTCATCCCAGAGCAGACTGCTCAGAGCCATTTTCCTCCCCTACAGCTTCTTCCAAGCTTTACCTGTACAACCCAGAGGCCAGGAGAAAGTAGCATCCCCTGGAGACAGCAGCGTGGTCTGGGTGTGGGGGTGGTGGACTGCCATGGGCCAGGCTGGCATCTCCCTATCCTTGCCACCCTGTGGACAGGTCCACCTCTAGCCCAGGAGCAGATCAGGACTCCAGCCGTGCCCTGGAAGAGCTGGAGAAGACCCTCTGCCCAGGGCCTCTGGTGACCCTGTGTGTGCCCATGGCTGTCCAGTTCTCCTTACCAGTCTCTGCACCGTGGGTGGATCAGTGCCTTCTGAAGCTCAGGAATCCACAGAATGTGCCTGGCTAATTTCGGGCACCTGAGACATTGCCCATGCTTTCGGATCTAGGACCATCAGGTCACAGGATTCCCGGAGACACAGATGAGGCATGCAGTGCCTGAGCCAAGCTCACTGACAAGGGGGACGGAGGTGACGTGGAGAAGCAGGGCAGGTGCGAAGACAGAGTGTGCAGCTCCCCGTCCTCTGCAGTGCAAGCACACCGCGCAGGCAGGGCCTCTCCTGTGGCATCCCAGCGGGGCTGGAAGATACACACTGTCGAACAGCGGGCCCTCCCCTGCGTGCACTCAACTCACTCCCTGTGAGGCCGCAAGCCAGGCCATGGGTCAGAGGTCCACAGGGCGTCCACAGTCCAGGAGCAACCACACTTGCTCCTTTTCAAGAACCACACGGCCACCCCGCCTCACTGACAGCCATCAGTCACCCCAGAGTACTGCAGACCTAAAGGGAGAGCCTGAGCAAAAACCCAAGTGTTTCCGTTGGTCATGTTTTTTCAGTTCAGGATTTTGGTTGTCCTTTACTACTTCCCTGGGAAGTTTTATCACCAGCTGGACCCATGGGAGTGAAGAGGCCTCGGGGCCTATGGCGGCCCCGGCCCCCAAGCTGCTGGCGCTCCTGGGCTGTGTCAGGGAGGCACATCCAAGACCTCTCCCCCAGCGTCTTCATGGGACGGTGCAGATTCCACCCTCACGTGTGCAGTAAGTCGAGCTCATGCTCAGTTTCTTGGATCCTAAGTCTGCTCCGACTGTTGTTGCCTTTGGTCTTGGAGACTTGGCATCAAGGTGCCTATTAGATGCTTGGACATCACCTTCCATAGCTGCAGGTGCCATGACGGCGTCTCCCTTCAGCCGGCCGACAGTGCCTCGCACAGCACGCTTGAGGTCATCAGGACACTGCCCTCCCGCGGCGCCTTTAGCCTCGCCCGGGCCAGGGTCTACCCTCTGGCCCAGGCTCAGGCCCAGAGCCCCAATTCCAGGTGAGGCAGAGGGAGGAGGTTAGAGGGCAAAGGGATTCAGCTTGGGCACCTGTTTTAGCTTCTCTGGTGCCCAGGCCATGTGTCAGGCAAGGCAGTCGGTAAGCAGAAACTCAGGAAGCGATCGTTCCCAAGTGCCAAGAAGGTTGCTGGCCCAGCCTTCAAACAGGCAAGGAGAAGTGCAGCTGCCTTTTTTAAAAGAAAACAAGCCACTCTGTATTTTAACGATGCGTCCCATGCCTAGAAAATGAACTATGGAACGCACGCCGGGGCGGGGCGAGTGCTGGAGAGGGACAGAACCAGGGTCCAGGGCAAACCGGGAAGCGCTTTCTGACCAGTAGAGGCAAGGGCCGGCACCTGGCGCTGGCTGCAGAGTGACAGTCAACACCACTAGAGCAGAGGACCTCAGCCACCCTGCTCAGCAACAGGGTGGCAGGATGCTCAGAAATAGGAAAAACCACGCTCTGAAGTGAAATGCTCCTCCCAGACTGCGGCCTACCCATTAGGAACACATGCTTTTTAAGTCTGTTTCTTCATGAACCCAAAGTAGAAGGGCCTGAGCTGTGAATGCGGCCACGACATTCTGTGCCAACTAATTCCCAAGCCTGGGAGATGCAAGCAGCCCCGTGATGGGGACATGTCATGCGGGAGCTCACTCCATGTGCGTCTGGGTGCCAGGCCCAGGCGGCCGGGTTTCTGCGGTTGGCAGAGCAAGCCAGGCAACAACCTCACACCCCTACCTCACAGCCACTCATCGGCCTCGTCCACTCCTGGCATTTGGGATAAACATCCTCTCTCGGACACACTCTTCTCGTGTGCCTAGGCCACCTGCTCAGGCCCACACTGCCTGCCTGTCTGCCATCCTTCCTTCCTGCCTTGACTGTGCCTCAGCTGCACCCACCACTACTTGTTAACAGCTGCCATCCACACTGAGGAAGCCTCTTCGAGCCCAGGGAGTGGCTGAGGTGGGGCTCTGCTGTGCACCTGCTCCCTGGGGCCCTCCCAGCAGTGGCTGGTGGGCGTTCTGCTCTGCCCTTCTTGGTCATGTTCCAGGGCCTGCAAGGAAGCTCAGCCCAGTAGCCAAGGGGCTCCTTGCAGACGTTAACACTGGGTCTGGTCCCTTGCAGAGAATAATGCCGGGTCTGGCCCAACGACCCGAGGCTACCGTGAGAACTTCTGACCCCTAAGATCAGAACAGTCTTCCGGTCCCAGAGCTTCCTGCACGATTGTGTGTGGAACCGACCAGGAGATTCCACCGGAGCTGGGTTCAACCATTACCACCAATGGCCTCTCAGACCAAAGGCTGCCACCCCTGACCTCTACAGCCAACTCCTCCTCCACAGAAGCTCTGCCAGGCACCGAGGAGGGCCAGTCTGCTGGGGGCTCCCAGGCCCTGGGTCAGGCTGAGAGAGGAAGAAGGGTGTGAGGATGCAGGGGCAGGGGGGGTGAGCCTTGCAGGGCAGTGTCTGGCCCATCCTGCACCCCCACACTGGGAACCCCCAGCTTTCTCACATGGGCATCTGGGGAGCCAGGGTCCCTAAGTGCAGCCACATCAGAGCAGACTTCCTCATGCAGCACCTTCCTGGGGGCATCCACAGCCTCCTTGGGGGCTGGCCCTCTGCTGATGCCATCCCCTCGTGGACGCAGCGCGGGCCTCTCTAGCTGGACTCTGCTCACCTGAACCATCTGCTGTTTCCACGGAAATCCCATCCCCAGAGCCCAGCAGACATCAAAGCTGCAGGGGCTTCCGGGCTAGGGGAAGCACCGGGAGGGCGCACCCTCGCTCACCCTCACCCCAGCTGCGGAAGCCTCACCCTGCTGCCAACACCTCTACAGGAACTGGGACCTACAACGGGGTTAACCCACATTTTCTTCCAAGTCTGCCCCGGCACATGTCAGCTGTCTGCTACCACCGTGCACAGTCATTCTGTGCAGTGACAAAACTTTTCTTACTGACGAAGTGGTTTAAAAAGTTACCTCAGCCTTTTTTCTTTGCTTTTAGCTGGAAAGAGCTTGGATACTTACAAAATGGAAATCAAATAATTTTCCTAAATGAATGTAACAGTTTAAATCATACTGTTAGGAAAGCAAGAAACGCTGTCAACAGTGAAGAAAAATTTTGTTCCTTGTAGTAATAAGCAACGTCTGACACTTTGGAATGCCTGTCGCGTCTCATGACAAACCCGCGTCTTTACCGGCAGTTCTTCCACTGCAGAGCTGCGTGGCAGCCGTGAAGACAGAGCTGGGCTGCGCGTGGAGGCTCTCCTGGCTTCTGAGTAGGAAACGCGTGGTGAGCACGAATCTCGAGAGTCCTGCGGTGTCCGGGTCTGCACACACGGGGTCTTGTGCGGCTGGCTCACCCACGGTGGCCAGAGCATGCCTCCCCCAGCCCCAGATCCTCACTCGGGAGCTACGGTGTCTGCAGGCAGCGTGGGACCAGGGCTTGTCACAGCCTGTCAGTGAATGGAGGACACAAAAATAACCGGAGAGGCAGGCTCTGCCCTCGGGGAGCGCACAGGCGACTTTTTAAAATGCAAGCGTTCATGTAATTAAATGTCTCCATTTCCGTCTCTCAGGAAGCGGTTATTCGATCTCCTCCTCCCCAGCCAGAGCTCTGTAAACCTGCACCTCTCACGCCTCAGTGATGCCTCTGAGTCCTGCCTCTATGGGTGGCTCCCCTGGGTAGCCTACAACCAGTTGGGGCTTGGAAGGGCTCTGGGGGTTCAGACAAGGAAAACGAGGGGCGTGAGCTGGGCTTGGGGAAGCTGGGTCACTGTGGTACCTGCATGACCCTTGGCCGTGACCGTACATCGGCTTCCAGCAGGGACTGCTTGTGTGCCTCGGGACACCACTGTCAGCAGGGTCCCAGTGACCCAGTGTGGCCAGGCCCCAGATGGCACTGCTGCAGCTCTTGTCAAAGAGAAATGAAGGTGACGGCAACACGTGCCAGGAGCCACGTGGGTTACGAAAACAAGACTGGCCTCCAGGGCCCACGGCCTCCAAACAACACTCTAACTGCCCAGGAGAGCAGCGGTTATTAACAAGTTCCTTCTACGCACAGAGGAAGGCAGGCTGAGGCTGTGTTCACCACAGCTAGAGCTCGGCCCCTTCTCCATCCCCCAGACCTTCCAGGGGAAGGCAGAGCGCTCCCTGATGAAAGCACATGGCACCACCTTCTCACTGCAACACCCGAGGGCCACATCCAGTGCAGTGTCTCACTTGGTTACCTGAATGTCAGGTGGAAGGTGGCTCCTGAGGGCACCCTCCAGCTCCCATGCAAAGTCCTGGAAGGGGTCTCTCTCACCAAAGGCATCTTGGCATTTGGTCCCTCAGTGACTTTGTAACTGTCACCTAGCCAATGACATCCTGCTGATACCAACTCAATTTAAAAAAATCAGATGTCAAACTGCAATCAACACTGCTCTCATCTAAAAACAAACACAAAGTAACTGCCTGACAAGGATTTCCAGGTTCAACGGGTGGTTCCCTTGATGATCATTCCATCCAACACCCTCCCCCCACTTCCCCTACCAACCACCAAGAAAGCCACCACTTGTGGCCAATTCCTCCAGTTCATCCTCACACAGAGCATGGCTTAAGTGGGAAGCAGGGAGAATGGAGAACAAGACAGTTCATACCTAACATCCCACAAAGCTCTGTGAGGAGCCGTGGCCCTGCTGCCAAGTGAACTGGCCAGACTCCTCACCTTGCACGTCTGCCCACCCTCCAGGGAGGGGTCCGGGGGCTGTGTGGGAGGGCTGGAGCTGAGCAAAAGGCTTCCTAACAGCCAGCAGCTCACCACACCAAGGAACCAGGCGACAAGGCAGCACCGAGGATGGCGTGTCCCCGAGGCGCTGCGCCAGCAGCTCCTGGGACACAGAGGCCCTGGGCTTTTGTGCCGGCCGCTCACGCCCTATGGCGGCTATCTGGACACCGAGTGGTTCGGTTCCGTAAAACTGGGCTCCAGCAGACAGGACAGAACACAGGCCCTTGGGGCAAGCACAGCTCTGCAGAGGAGTCCACCATTCTGCGTGCTGTTCCATGTCCCCCACAGTTCCCCATTTAAGGTGCGCTGTCAGTGTTTGAATGACGGCCACGGCAGCCACTCCGTGCTGCGCGCTTGTCTGTCTTACCCCCATTGGTTCTGATCAGCATCTTTCATTCAAACTAGATCTTCAGCAATAAAAACAAAATACTTTCTGTACCAGACAGTGTACCACAAGTTTCTTCCTCTTGGCTTGTCATTTTTCTTTCAACCTGGTTGATTCAAAAGCATGTTTCCTTGGAATCCCACCTAATTAGTGACAGGCTCCTCTGGAAGAAAAACAGTCTCTACTAACAGACAACTGCATGGAAGCCACCAAGATCTTTCCATTCCTTCCTCCAAAAGCAGGAGGGAAGGAAGAACCAGCCACACAACGGGGTCCATCTTCTGGATGAGGAGCCGAGGAGCCTGGGCGGGCCTAGGCAGAGGTGTGGGGACGCAGACCCAGCCGCCTGGGCTCCGGCTTCTCAGCCCTGCCCAAGCACCTCCCAAGCCGCTCAGCGGAGTGTGTGAAGCACCCTGATGCCCAGCACTCAAGACAGAATGCCCAACTGGCTGCCAAAGCCTCACAACACAAACCCAAGCTGCAGCCCTCAGGGCAGACGGGGAGGGCCAGCGCCTGCAGCCTCACCCTGGCCGCACTGCCACCCACGTCTGGACGCAGCGGACAGGTGTCCCAACCAGGCAGCAGGCAGTGCCCAGAGCCTTCCCCTTTCTCATCAGCTTTCCCATCAAGTGAGAATGGAAGTCTCAAGTGAGGTCACACCCATGGCAGTGGGCGGGGCCCTCAGGGCCAGTTTGAGTGCCACCTACCCATGCTTCCGGAACACCTGGCTGACCAGGGAGCTCAGTATGTGCCCCTGCTGGGGAAGAGCGGGCCAAGTGCCTGAGATGATCCTCAGAAGCGATAATTCTGAAGCTGCTGCCCCAAGGTGACCTGGGTGTTGCTGGGCCCACCTGGAGCGTGAGGACAGAGTGGCTGAGGGAGCACGGAGGTGCTCGCAGGTGCCCACCGTCCAGTCAGCTTCTAGCCCTCTCCCAGGGGCACTCCCACCTGCCCAGTGCTGGCTCCACCAGGAGGGGAGTCTCCTCACCACCCTTGTTTTCGATCCCACCTAAGAAATGGGACGACACTGGTTATGTCAACCCCATCATAGAAAACTAAAGACCCTATATTCCCACTATGGAAAATTTAAGATACACAAAACACTGCACCAGGTGTGGTTTCAATGCTCACCTTTTGATCCCAATTATGCAAATCAGAATTGGCCTTCAGTCTCGGACGGTAGCACGCCTCGGTCGGGGGTGAGCGCACCACAGCCTTCAGGGGAAAGGGGGCCGCAGCTCTGGAGCCAAGAGGAGCTGGATGGTGGCAGCTGTGTGGGGACGGTGGGAGCCCTTGCCCTCCGGACTCCCTTCCTGTCATTTTGCAAATGCCAACCCTAAGCCCAGTGGGGACAGGGACAGGGATGGCCCCACACTGCCCCCTGAAAGACCGTGCAATGGCTGGGGAGCCCCCAGGAGTGAGGCTGCGCTGCACCTGAGGAGCCTCCTGCCATGAGACCTGCGAGGAGCAAGCCGGCAGCGCTTCACACAGACCAGAACCGGGAGGCTGTGCCCTGGCCACAGCTACGTCCGAGTTTCTGGGCGTCAAAGGAAGATCTGGGCATGAGGATGCACAGGCAGCAGGGGCTCTTCTGGTTTCACAAGGGGAAAGGCCCAGGAAGCACAGCACATTCCAGGGTTTCCAGTGCAGAAACCTACTTCCCGAGGGCCCCTCATGTCCATGGTTCCACCCTCCGGTGCGGGGCAGCCTTGCCCTAGGCCCAGCCCTGACCCCAGGAGGACTGTGGCGTGCCCAGGCCGCACAGAAGACAACCTTCTCGGTGGTCTCGTTTCAGGTCCACTTTATTTTACACAGCACACAGGCTGCTGAGGGAATCCACCTGCACCGCACTTGGTTTAACTTGCGGCCCAGCAGGGCATGAGAGACTAACTCACGGGAGCACGTTTACACCCCTTCAGCACCTTCTCCTCCTGTTCGTCAGGGCACAGGATGCCGAGAGCGTCACCCAACACGGCTGGGTCCTGAGCGGACGCTGGCACAGCACTCTCCAGGCGCCCCGGGCAGGGGCTCTTCAGATGCGCAAGGAGGAAAGACAGACACACATTCAATCACAGGGGAGGCCTGTGTAGGAGTTTAGAGAAACAGACCACAGGAGCGGCGCTCACTACCAAGCTGCCCAAATTACTCCAGGCACCACAGCGTTTAAGAATTTAAGCTTGCCTCACAACATCTACAGAACAAAGCTGAATTCTACTAGAAATCCAATCAACATGAAAAGCCTCTCACCAACACCTGGCAGCCGCCACCGGTGAGCCCAGGCCTCTCACCTCAGTCCTCCGCGCTGCTCTCCTCTGCACTGTCCTCGTCCCCACATCCACCCTCGGCGCCCTCAACCTCCTCCTCACTGTCCTCTTCCGAGTCCGTCTCCTCCAGCCACTCTTGAGTTTCTTCAAAAGCAGAATGAACACATAGATGTCAGCACAGCCTGGGCAGACCAGGGGAGCTGTGGGATGGTGGTGGCCACTTCCTGGGGAGATGCCATGTTCTTAAGAAGTCGGCTGGGTGCAGTGGCTCATGCCTGCAATCCCAGCACTTTGGGAGGCTGAGGTGGGCAGATCATGAGGTCTGGCGTTCAAGACCAGCCTGACCAACAATGGTCAAATCCCATCTCTACTAAAAAAAAAAAAAAAAAAAAAGAAAAAAATTAGCCAAGTATGGTGGCATGCATCTGTAATCCCAGCCACACAAGAGGCTGAGGCAGAATTGCTTGAACCCAGAAGGCAGAGGTTGGAGTGAGCCAAGATCGCGCCACTGCACTATAGCTGGGTAGTAAGAGTGAGACTCCCTCTCAAAAAAAAGAAAAGAAGAAGAACCATAATGTGAAATCAAACTCCTCGTCCCCAACTACCTTCAGCTCCATAAAGAAAACAGAATGTGTTCCTCTGGGCCTTAGGGCAGAGATGCAAGACGGCAAGCATGCGAAACCACCCCCAGAATGGAGCGGCTGGCCAAGCAGGCCTCCTGCCACCCTCCCCCCGGCTCACAGGGCTCTTAGAAAGAGCAAGCATCCTGCACCAATGGTTCGCGCCACTCCCCAGATTTCTGGATTTTGCTTTAGTTTTAGTCTCAGATCTTTAACAACGCCATGGTGGCTTGAGCCCAGCAGCCGTTGGGGGAAAAAATGAGGATGTGAGACTCAGCAGCAGAGGGACCCTGGGTCAGGCAATGAGGCCAGAGGTGCAGACCCAGGGCCTAGGGGCCCAGCGCAGACGGCCACCCACAAACGAGCACGCTGTGGACGACAGAGCAGCAGACGCCCTGTGCCGCCAGAACCACAGCCCCCGTCAGCACCCGGGATGAAGGAGAGATGTGCCCAGGGTCGGCCCCCCTTTCTACCACAGGGTCCCATTCTCACGTCGCTCTGACCGTGGAGGCAGGAACACAGGCCCGGCGAGGTGCATCAGCACAGGCTGCCTCTGGGCAGCTTACACGACTGTGGGCTCTGGCTCCCATGCACAGAGGCACTAAGCCCCCTGGTTTACCTGGGTCCATCTCCACCAAGGCCTTCCATGCCTCCATCCTGTGCAGGTCCAGGCAGTGCAGGTCGCTGAGGGTGACCTGGCGGTCTCCGGCCTCAAACATGCCCCCGTAGACGTAGAGCACCCCGTGCTTCACAGCCAGCATGGCGTTGGAGCGTGGACATGGTCCGGGCACGGGGCCGTCGGCCTCCTCGGAGCTGTCTTCATCCGCAGACTGGGGCTGCCCCACTGAGCCTGGGGCGGCCAGCACCTGCTTAATGGTGACCACGGTCCCATCCTCAGCCACCACCTCCTTGACTACCTCCACGGGCCCTTGGGCGCTGGCTCTCCCACACGCCTGCTTGCTGACACCTTCGGGCTCCTCTTTTCTGCCCCGCCTACGTTTTTTCTTCTCGGACTTGGGTCCCTATTAACAGACCGAGGGAACAGAGAGGCAGCAGCTTCAGTGAGGCAGGGGTTGGTCCTGCTACACCCACAAGGCCAAGCAAGGGTTTGCAGTAACTGCCCAGAAGCATGGAGAGTAGGTGACTCTGGATGCAGGCACTTAGGGCCGCAGGGGCACGCTCCTATCTCCCACTGGCCTCACCATCCACTATGGGGCTGAAGGAGGAAACCCCCCTTCGCGTGTCCTCACTGAGGGGCGGCCCCGCACCTCCACTGAAAGGTGGACATGCTTACCAGACCCCAGACTCAGTGCACCGGCTCTCAGGCTCCGACGCTCATCCCGGGAATACTCAATCCACCCACAGTGCTGGCTCCCAGAAGGGCTAGGGAAGTCAGGCTGAGGGGCTTCCTCCCCTTTCCCAAGCAAGACGGATGGTGGGATCCACAACCCCAGCAAACAAGCTGTAAATGAACTACAGACGGCGAGCCAGAGAGGGGCCCTTCCTCACCAAATGTGTCTAAAGCAGAGCTCTCACGTCAGGCTGCCTGCTGCAGGACACCTGTCCGTCCCTCTTCGTCCCACTTCCCTGGCTGTGTTGCAGGGGTCAGTCTGGACCCTTCCATCACAAAATGCTGCCAACTCATGAGACGACATCTGCCAGGTCACCTCCAAATTTTCCAAGGATCACTACCTCTAGATCAACCCAGAGTCAGCTTCAGACTTCTAAGATCCACTTTGTATCTGGACAGTGCAACAATGACTTTCAAAAGGGAAAGCTCTGAGGTCCTCAGTCATCCTGGGGAATGTCAAGGGCCCTGAGATCACAGTCTGAGAACCGTGACACTAATTCTTCCACTGGGGCCAACAAGCTCTCTGAAAAGCCACACAGAAACCTGTGCAGACTCTGGAGGGACTCCTCCGAAAACTGGGAAACCGAAGCGGACTTTAGGTCCAGAAACAAACCCTCGTGTTTCCCCAATTTCCAGCCCAGGTGCCACCACATGTCAAGAGCAGCCCCAGGAGCTTGCCACCAATAGGGACCAGCCCTCCTCAGCCACAGCCCTTTCTGGGTCCGGCTGACCTGGTCCACTCAGAGACCCTGAGGCCAAGTGGGGGGCCCACTTCTGGGGCTGTCACTCACTGTCTGCCTGTGCTTGGCTCAGGTAGACAGTAAAGATGGTACCAGGAAAGCAGGGACGTTCCAGCGCAGTAACAACACAAGCTGGTCTGCACCAGAACCTCCTGCAAACTCCCCTCACACAGAGGACCGGGGAGGTCCCAGGCACCTCCGCCCAGGGCAAGTAACTCCCGAGACAGAAGCACCACCAGCATCCAGGATGGGCTCAAGGGACCGTGACCAAGGGCTCCCAAGCCCAGTCGCCCAGGACACAGGCAGAGACAGGAACTCCCACCCCTCCTGAGAGGTCATGCGCTTTGGAGCCCCGACACCCGAAGGTACAGGAGGGAGGCAAGGAGGGCAGGGACCCGAGTTAGGGCTGTGTACGACGGCACATGCTACTCAGAGGCTGCCCTACCTTCAGCTGTCCCGCAAACCACCGGTTCCTGGTGGCGTCATAGAAGTACAGATCGTTGAAGAACTCTCCCTCCAGGTTCTCCTCCTCTTCCTCATCACAGACACCCCCGAAGAACAGGGTCTGGTGATTGGGGGCCGTGGCCACAGAAAAGCCAGACCGTGGAGTGGGCTTGACCCCTGAAGGGTTAATCCGAGTCCACACCCACTTGTCTGTCAAAAGAAAACAAGCAAACGGAATAAAAACAGAAGAAAAGAGACAGGCCAGGACACGCCCAGGAACCCAGGTGTCCCCGGAAACGGAGTAAATGAAAACTGTCAAACTTCTGGCATAAACTCTGCTCCCTCTGCAGCATCACCATTCCAACCCCATCGAGTTCCCCCCTTCTCCTTAAGAGTGCTGGCAGTCAAGAGCTTTCCACGCCCCTGGCACCTCTACCTATGCAGCCGCTTCGAGCCGCAGAGGAAAGGCAGGGATAAGGCGGAAGCGGCACACGAACTAGACTGGCACAGCAGAGGTAATTCCCGGGGAGGCCGCGCTGCACGAGGACCCTCCATCCAGGGCTGCGAGGCCTCCACCGGCCCTGCGTAGGCCCGCGGTTGGCCAGCTCTACTTTAGGAGGGCTCCGCTTCACACTCTTTCTCGGCACGTGCCTATGCAACATGCCAGCCCTCAAACGTAGCTCAATGTGAGGTGCAGGAAATGTCTTCCCACTTCTAAGAGAAAGAACAGAGATTTTTTCTTTCCTCTAATGAACATTAAAAAAAAAAAAAAAAAAAAAAAAAATCAGAAGCAGCAAAGGGCCGCATTCCTCATGGTGCGAGCCATCAACCATCCATGCCCAGTGCAGGTGCGGCTCTGGGGCCACCCACCTCATTCCCGCCCGCACCGCCTGTGTTAATAGGGCAGACCACCAGAACTCGCCACACCGTCAGGCCAGGATCCTCTCCAGTTACAGAATCCCACACATGCAATATGCACAGCTCCTCCCACAACGCTTTCCTCCTTGGGGGTGAGGAGCTGGGCACACTGGCTCCGGGCCGCCCTAACTAGAATGAAGTCCAGCGTCCAGGTTCAAGCTCACTGTGGTATGAGCTGGGAAAGTGACTGAAAGAACGAGTCCTCATCAGCCAGGGGTGCAGTAAAGCAGGGCCATGAGAGAAGCACCTGGGCCTTTTGACAGGCAAGTGGGTGTGGACTCAGACTAACCCTTCGGGTACTTCTGAGGCCTCAGCCTGAGGAATTTTAGTGCAAGAAAGGGGTACAGACACTTTGCACAACAGTCCCCTCTCCCAGGGACGGTGAAGAACTTGCCACGGGTCACAAAGGCAGACCTGTCCTAGGCACTAGGTCTCCTGGGTCTAGCCCAGCCCTATGGTCCCAACCCACAGCCTCTCGTGAGAGAGCTGTCCCCCAGCTTCCTAAGGGCATTGGGGACACCACACTCCATGGCAAACACTCTCAACCCATGCCTCCTGGCATCACTCCCTTGCTCTGGAGCAGGAACAAATGCCATTTCTCCCTTTATTTATTTATTTATTTATTAACGATGGGGTTTCTCCATGATGGCCAGGCTGGTCTTGAACTCCTGCTCTCAGGTGATCCACCCACCTCGGCCTCCCAAAGTGCTAGGATTACAGGCATAAGCCACTGCACCCGGCTATTTGTTCATTTTTGCGACTAGGTCTCACTCTCTCATACAGGCTGGAGTGCAGTAGCACGATCTCAGCTCACTGCAGCCTCCATCTCCCAGGCTCAAGCAATCCTCCCACCTCAGCCTCCTGAGTACCTGCAACTACAGGCACACGCCAGCACACCTGGTTGATTTTTTTTTTTTTTTTTTTTTTAAAGAGATGGTGTCTCACTATGTTGCTCAGGCTGGTCTCAAACTCTTGGCCTCATGCAATCCTCCTACCTCAGGCTCCTGAAGATTACAGGTATGAGCCACTGCACCCAGCCAGTAACAAACACAATTATTTTTGTCAAAGTCAAGGAATTAATGATTGAAAAGTAGCAGCCCACTCCCATCCCCCTCTGGCTCCACACATGTGCGGCTTCTCCCCCACCTTGAGAGGTCTGTGAGAACACACGGAAGCAGCCAGTGGCAGGAAAGGTGGTCACCAGTTCATCTCAATGCAGGAACCCACACCAAGGAATACAGAGCGTGTCGCACATGGAAGGTGTTGAATAGCTGACATATCCTGGGCCCTGCTGGTGCCAGAGCCATGCAAAGAGCTGTCCCCTGAGTCACCCCATGTCATCCTTTTAAGAAGTCCCAGAGAATGATTATCGTTTCCCTGTACGAAAATTTTGATCCTTAGACCCAAGTTTAGCTAAAAGCTCTTAGAAATCTAGGCATTCGACAGCACCCTGAATTCAGTAACTCCTACTGCACAGAGGACACAGCTGTCCTCGAAGGCTGTCATTTTGATGGCCAACGGCAGTCTCCGTGACCATTTCCAAAGGTCTGTGGATGAGCAATGCTGGCCAGCCCCACACCCCATCTACTGGGCGGCTGCCCACAACCACCCAAGGGCAAGCGCGTCTCCACAGTGCCAGGCAGCCCCTGTGACTCCTGTGGCTTGTACTCAAGGCCCAGGACGGCTGTCCTGGAGAGTCTGAGACCCTTGTGGGGCCCGTCAGGAAGTGCTGAGGAACACCATGCTCACTGTGCCACAGAGGGCTGTCCACAGGGTATCGCACCCATGCAGCGGAGTCAGCCCATCATCAATGTTCCCAGAGGTGACCGCCCAGCAGGCATTCCTGTGTCTGCAGACACCAGGATTATGGAGCCTGTCCCGCCCACCCCACCTACAAAAGGACCATCTTGGCGGGCCCTCCGCTCTAGGCTGGTGCAGGGGCTCAGCACCAGCCCCATATCCATGGGTGTCTCACTATGCTGAGGCTTGGGCTTTGCCTCCCACCACAGGCGGACCAGCCAGTCCCCGCCCTACCTTCTCTTCCGTCCTCTGGCTTCAGCAGGAACATGTCTGAGTGCCGCGTGCCTTTGTCCACGTCCTTCTTGACTCTCTGCAAAGGAAAGGAGCTATGTGAGAACCGGGGACATCTACAGTGACTGCTCACAGCCGCCCACGCTGCGGGCGCATTTCAGACGGAAGGGACTGGAGGACTTTCCCGCAGACCACCCTAAGCTCCGAAGTGTGTCTGCAGCGTGCTCAGTGCTGCTGCCACCTGACAGACAGGCGTCATCCCTAAGACTGGGTCCATCTGAAGGGGCCCCTTTCCAACGGCCGTGATCACAGTACACTAGCGTGCTCGTCAGAGCGCACACAGCTTCCACGCAGCCTGGGGCCTCTAATACACTAGACAGCCATTCTTCATTCCTGGCTCCGGCAGTCTCAGTTCTCACCACCTTTCAAATAACACGATTCAGGCTTTGGGACAGAAATCAAGTTACTACTGTGGGCAGAAAGCAGCCACTGCCCACTTAAAGACTTCTCTAAGCTTCGAGAACAACAAAGTCCATGTCCCTTAACCCTTAGTCTTCTGCCTCAAGTAAGCGTCAGCACCCCAGCCTGACCAGGCACACCACTCCCAAACACACATGCCCTATGTCCTGGCGCCACAACCCTTACCTGTGACCTACGGTGGTGAGGGAGATGCCCAGCAAAACACGTGCCCTGGGTGGAAGGACCCAGTCCGTTTCCATCTCATCTTTGTATTTGTCTGCACTTTAATTCTGTTTTTTTTAAAACAATCTGTAAGTTTTACTACCTAAGGATTTTCACTCAAAGAAAAATGCACAGTAACACCAAGCTTGCAGGATGGCGAGTTAACAGAGACATTTTCTTACTGGAAACTTATCCAGCTTCAGTACCATTTCTGGATGAAGCATCAAGTTACTATGGCACATTTTTAAGATTGGTCGAGCAGTGTTTCCTCTAACTTTAATTCCTCCCTTTCATTTAAAGTATTAGCAACAGCATCACTCCGTGAATCGTCTACAATGCCCTCATGTACTCCATTTGACCCTCCTCAGTATTAAGCTGTGCCCTGGGTGTGCTCAAACAGGTCATTTCCCGGGGACTGACGAGTACTCCGCAGCTCCGCCTGCCTTCTCTCCAAGGCCAGTTGTTTATCTCAATTCTTTGTTGTTGCTCTTCTGTTAGACTTTTACTTGACTCAGAATCGAACACCTCAGTTTCAGATGAGTTTGTCAGAAAGGGATCTCATTCAGTAGCAGTTACATTACGTTCATTACTTTCTACAACTTCATCACTGCTGCTAACAAATCTTCATGTAAAATAGGAAGATGAAGCCAAATTCGTTTTAAACAGGTCTAAACTTCCTTTTTACTTCCCAGGTATTCAACTCTGTCAATCAAACCCTCAAGCTGCAGTTTAGGGAGCAGTCTCTGTGCATAGTGCTCCGTGTGTCTGAGGAGCGTCTTCAGGTCTTCAGCCTTATGACCTTCACCTTTGAAGTTTGCCCTATCAAACACATGCCTCAAGGCTGGAAGTCCCCTCAGCATCCAGCCTGGGTGTATTTCTGTCAGCTGTTCTCTCCAGAGGTGCAGGCACAGGTGCTCCACTTCCTGACTCTTCATCAGGCTCAGCTCCTTCACCATCTTGTCTCTCCAGAGAGGCTGGAGGTGGGAAAGGAGGAAAAATCTCATCTTCTACATGCTCATAATCTGGTACGTCAATCATGCCCTTCTCCTCTGGTTCTAGCATCTTTTCCTCTCATGCAGAAAACCTAATTCTCTATTTCTAATACACTATAAGTTTCATGTTTACAGAAAATCGAGACGATAGTACCAAGAGCTCCCACAGGTCTACACCAGTGTCCCCCTGGCACCAACACCTTCCTCTCCTTGGTGCCCTCGTGACAGCTCAGGAACCGGCACTGACCTGTTCCTGTGACTGCAGCCCACGCTTCATTCAGAGCCCCCAGTGCTCCTCAGATCCTCCTGGCCCGCCATCCCACCCAGGGTCCTAGAGGCCGTTTCATCCTCTCACCTCCTCAGGTTCCTCTGGGCCGTGAACTTCTCCAGCTCCCCTTTCTTCTGAGGACCATGAAAGCAGTGTGGACAGCTCGGGTGTTATAGAGTGCCCCTCTGTTGGGACTGTCTGCTCTCTTTCTCATGATTAGACTGGGGTTATGAATTATCAGGACGACCCCAGGGATGAAGTGCCCGTCTCATCAAGTCCCATCAAGGGTCCACACCATCAACAGGACTCATCGCAGTAGACATTGACCTTGACCGTCTGGCTGAGGTCGTGTCTGACAGCTTCTCTTGGGCATGCTCTATGGACTCACAGATACTGACACAGACTTTGGTCATGCTTATGCAGTCGCAAGGGTATTGACAGACTTCGGATATGCTCTACGTTTCGTGGATACTGATGTTTCATGGCTATTGACGTAGACTTCAGCCATACTCTGTGGTCCCCTGGGTACTGATGAAGACTTCCGGTACGCTCTATGTCTTGTGAATATCGGCGCAGACTTTGGGGATGCCTGGCCTCATGGACACTGACGTAGACTTCTGGTTCGCTCTATGTCTCACAGATATTGACACAGACTCTGGGTACACACTGTGGTCTTGTGGATATTGATGTAGACTTTGGGTATGCTCCATGTCGCATATAAGGAGCTGAGCCTGATGAAGAGTCAGGAAGTGGAGCACCTGTGCCTGCACCTCCGCAGAGAACAGCTGACAGGAATACACCCAGGCTGGATGCTGAGGGGACTTCCAGCCTTGAGGCATGTGTTTGATAGGGCAAACTTCAAAGGTAAAGGTCACGAGGCTTAAGACTTGAAGATGCTCATCAGACACACGGAGCACTGGGCACAGAGACTGCTCCCTAAACTGCAGTTTGAGGATTTTATTGACAGAGTTGAATACCTGGATATTGGTGTAGACTTCAGGTGCACTCTGTCTCATGGATACTGACAAAGACTTTGGTTCGCTCTGTCTCTCACAGATATTGACACAGACTTCTGGTTCACTCTGTCTCGTAGATACTGACAGACTTTGGGTACACGCTATCGTCTTGTGGATACTGATGTAGACTGGGTATGCTCCATGTCTCGTGGATACTGACCAAGACTTCAGGTACACTCTATGTCTCACACATACTGACAGACTTCTGGTACACTCTGTCTCGTAGTATTGACAGACTTTGGGTACACGCTATGGTCTCGTGGATATTGATGCAGACTTTGGATACACTCCTTTCTCGTGGATGCTGATACAGAGGAGAGATCGGCTATGCTGTCATCAGCCATCTTTGTTGCTCGGGTTCTTCCATAACGCAGAGCTGCCACTCAGAGGCTTTATGGCTGCTCCTGAGTCCCGGTGACTTGCACCTTCTTTGTGGGTTTCTTTAAGCACTTTCTTAGGCTCTGGCACCATAAGATGCTCAACTCTTCCTGTATACCTTTGCCCAGCCCTAAAATTAGCCCTTTCTCCAGGAAGTCCTGGTTCCCTTTGATGGAGAATACCATTGAAAACCAACATTCGTTGTAATCCCAGGACTGTGAGAGGCCAAGGTGGGCAGACTGCTTGAGTTCAGGAGTTCAAGACCAGCCTGGGCAATGGCAAAAACCCATCTCTACCAAAAACTACGAAAATCAGCCAGACATGGTGGCATGCCACTGCAGTCCCAGCTACTCCCAAGGCTGAGGTGGGAGGACCACTTGAGCCTGTAAGGCAGAGGCTACAGTGAGCCAGGACTGTGCCACTGTACTCCAGCCCGGGTGACAGAGCGAGACCTTGCCTCAACTTTAAAAACTAAAGAAAGAGACCAAGATTTGGACACTGGATGTGTACACTGCTGCTGGGAGTACTGTTTCTAGGCCCTCTCATCCGGTAGAGCAAGGAAATATTTGTTTACAGTTCGTTTTCTTATAGCTAGTATGTACTGTATTTACTATAATGGAAGAAAAACATTTTCCTTTTGAAACATGAAAATGATCCACTGTCCACACAGACTCTCGATTTCCACCTGGGCCTGAGTGTCCTAAAACTAAGAAGGCTCCACATTAGCCATACGGAGAGCGACCTCAATCTCAGGAAGTGAAAACTGGGTGTGGGTCTCTTTTATTCTCCTTCTGGAAACACCTGTGGAATTCAAGTGATGCACTTTCTACACATTACAGACAGCAATTGAGACTAGTCTCTTTTTGTAGCGGGTTGATAGAAAATGGCTGTCATTTCTATGCCTGCTTTTCCAAACCTGAAGGCCTAGCATTACTGGGAACTGAACTGAAACCCAGAGACTTCATCAGCTGGGGGGACGAGGAAGGAGTTCAACGACATCTCTGTGTGTCATCAGACACTTAAATCATTGCTCAGCTTCAGCAGGTCTCTGTCTCCTTGTAGTACCCTGCACCTGTCTATGTTAACTGTCTTGTTTTTCTGACAGCAACATTTTCTTCTTAGAACTAACAGGCTATGGGGGAATCTTTTTTTTTTTTTTTTTTTTTTTTTATATAGGGTCTTGTTCTGTTGCCAGGCTTGAGCGCAGTGGTGCAATCTTGGCTCACTGCAACCTCTGCCTCCTGGGTTAAAGTGATTCTTTGGCCTCAGCCTCCCAAGTAGCTGGGACCACAGGCATGTGCCACCATGCCCAGCTAATTTTTTGTATTTTCAGTAGAGATGGGGTTTCACCATGTTGGCCAGGATGGTCGCGATCTCTTCACCTCGTGATCCGCCCACCTTGGCTTCCCAAAGTGCTGGGATTACAAGCGTGAGCCACCG